GTTCATCTACTTGTGAGCGTGAAGAAAATTTACACACAGTGTACACATAAAAGCATCATTTATACAGAGTGACCCCCCAAAAAAAACGGGAACTTTTTAACAATCCAATAAAACCAAGGGTGATGGAAGAAAAATATTTTATTCATAGTAATTGAAACCTTAAAACATGCCATTTAAGAAACAATGATGGAATTTTCATTTTTTTAAAATTACGTCCTGTAGATGGCGCCCCCCTGTACGAATGCATTCTTGAAATCTGCTGTTGAGATTCCTCATTGACTGCTGCAACATCTCAGCTGGGATACTGTGAATTTCACCTTGAAATCTAGATGGCGAAATGTTTACTTGCTCAAGGTCACTGTCTCTCAGTGTTGCCACTTGCTCATGTCTGGCAATACGCACTTAAAAAATTCCCGTTTTTTGGGGTCACCCTATATATGTGTGTGTGTGTGTGTGTATAATGAAACAAAGTCATGAATAGATTTGTGTTATCATTGATTTATGTTGAGCTTACGGAAATGAAAGAAAGGTGAAAAAAAATGTCCGAATGGCAGAAAGAACCGGATACATTCATACTTAACTTATGTAACGAGAGTTGGAGAATGTGTGTATAAGTAAATCAAATTATTTGCAAGTCACAAGACGACGCAAAGAAAGTGAGGCTCTTTTCTGGTTAATTCACCCCAGATAATGTAAAGTTACTTATCAGAATATTAACTCACCAAGAAATTATAAATAAAAGTTTGTTTCTTTACTAAATTTTTGGCACTCTTGAAATTATAAATCTTAAAAAAAAAACACCACCAACCCTCAAAATGAAAAATTACCAAACTTTTTTGAAGCATTTAATAGGAAATTTTTACAATTAAAAAAAAAAAAAAAAAAAAAAAACAGACCACGAACAAAAAAAAAAAAAAAAAAGGTTTTTGGCTTGTTTATCGGGGTTAGCGCTAATATAGACCCTCCCAAACACACACACTTAGAAATAGCGAACACGAGTCGCCCACATTTGGGGAAATCGCAAAGTTCAACCAAACCAGAGTGCAAGAGAAGGGTCTCGCACTGGGAGAATTTTGCGTGAATTTTAGTAAATATAAATTCTTTATATTTTGGGATGAATTAACAGAAAAGATACATAAGTGAATTGTACAATGATTCTATTGAACATTCTCATCCGCTGTTCTGAAAACTAACCCATTCAAATGAAGAATACCAGTGTTGTGCTCCCAATAAACCATAAAAAAATATTTTTAAATGTCGTGAGTTAATGTCATTTCACAGCCGCAGTCCCGTCCTAGATTATAACTTTCTTTGGAATAAATAAATAAATCATAAAACGCTAAAAATGTATTTTTTAGATTTCTTTTTGTAGTGTGTGTAAATATTAATTTCAATTCATCTTTGCAAAGAAGACACAGTTATCTCCCTCGTACTGAAGACATCAGGTGGCAGTACTTTTATTATGAACAATAACGAACTATTTGAAAGTATCTATGAAGTGGGAGGGGTGATAAAACCGATTCCGTGGAAGAGCGAATTACAATAATAACTGAATTTTTTTTAATGAATATGTCGGAGTTAGCTCCTCCTTAATTCCCAAATTGTCACTAAGGGGGTCTCTCTCCCCATACTATAAATACTGGGCGACTCCTTGCCTCGTTTTCTTTTTTTCCTTCAGGCCTCGTGCCGCATCCCACCTCGCGTGGAGGTGAGGCAAATCCTCTTTTTCATTTCAGCGACTACAATGTTTCCCACTTGTGGGAAGATGCCATGAACATTATGCACACATACACGTACGTACGAACATTCACCAAAGAACAAATACAAATGTTTACACACACACAAATGTTATTGTCCATTGTAAAAATTGTTTTGTTTAATACATACATATATATATATCTCGGTCTTGTTTGTCTTCTTTATCTTCAGTTGGACTTAATTCAAGTCCAGCCATGTTTTTGTAGTTGGACCTTTTAATATACTACCAGGAGTTACACACGTGTTTTTAATACAACAACACGCAAACCACCCGGTCCTCTGCAAAGGAAGGTGATAAAGCCACTAATACGCAAATGGTTTCTGAGAGTGAAGGAGAACATTATAAGGAACCTGAGACCCATGTTTAAAAGACTGGAGAGCAGCGTGAACTTGACGATAAGAGAAACTATCTACTCTTACTGTGGAATATATATATATATTATATATAATTAAAAATAAAAAATATCGCGCTGTTGAAAATTGTCTTTATTTTCCTGAAAGTTATATATTATTTTTCCTAATCTTTGCTTATTCTTAATTGCAAGGGTGTGGGTAATAATCAGAGGTTGTAATTTATCTCAATATGAAATAAACGGGGGGCGATCTTAATAAAAGGGGGGACCAGAAAATTATTTAAAGGGTCAAAATATGAAATTAAATGTATTCTTAATAAGCTCGGGGAGACGGTCGGAAAACTCACCCCTCCCTAAAAAAATAAATAAATAGAACAAGTGGCCTCTCCCCGTATATTAAGCATTTAAGAGTATAATGCCACATGATACTTACAGTATCAGATTTCCTTACGGTCAGAGGTCAAATACTGAGCAAGCGAGTTGTGAATAACTAATAAAGTTTGTAGAAAATGAAACAGTAAACTAAACAGTTATTATTAATTTTTTAGTTTTATTTTTTTTACAGAGCTTCATCAACAAGTCATGTGAAAGCTAATATATTTAGCCACGAGGGTTGCATGTAGCACAAGGCCGGGTTTAATGTGGGTTCTCCGAGCCCGTAGGCTCGGCCAAAAATATTCCCTTTTTGAACCCGCATAAACGGGTTCAGGGGCAGTCAACCTCCCCGAACGAGTGTCTGCCCTTCGGCGGAGCCTCGTCCGGGTTCCTCTCTGCCCGAAGGCAGAGAGTTCGACTGTTTAGCTAGTCGTCATGTGAAAGCTAAGGACATGTGCAGAATTAAAAATAAAATTTATTGAAATTTGATTCTAGTTCAGAACATACAAAATTTGCATGACGCATCAACCAAAGCCTGATGTTCAAATGTGGAATAAGACAGCATCACCGACTCAAGCAAGAAAGGTAGCTCATTACGATACCATTGTTAGCAAGGGTAGTGAGTTCGATCCTAACTGAGTTCATTATATTTGTGGCTGTGTGCCGAGACTAAACAACATCTGCAACAGGAATAATATGAAAATTATTTCTTTTCTAAAATAAATTTCAGAATGTCATTAATTACAATGAGTATAAAACAAAAACCCAAGGAAAGCACAATGGTAAAAATAAAGTAAAATGCTTTAGTATTGTTAGTATAAGTAAATCAAACAGTTAATTAAAATACAGAGAAACCCGGATATAACAGACTTCTTCGGTCCCGCCAACTCTCTTATATCCGGGTTACACTGTAACTAAAAATGGGAACATGTTCACTGCTACATTTGATCTTTATATAATAATAAAAAAAAAAAAAAGAGCTCATAACTGGTTTTATCCTCGATACATATTTAGTGATAGACGGAACCACCATAGCCTCTTATTTTGTTCACGATATGACGTGCGAGACGTATAATGGTTATTGGCACGGAAAGTGAAACCAGCGTTCACTTTTGCACTACTGCCCTTGGAAAAGACATGAATCTCTTTCTTGCCCCCACCTATGGGTTAAATAGCAGAATAGAGTGTCTAAGAGAAGTAAAACTGAATTCCGAACCGCGGAGAAGGCAACCAGAAACCACTCCAATGTATTTCTCAAGAATGCATGGTATTTCACAAATAATAATAAAAAAAAAAAAAATTTGAAGAGAAGTGATCGCCCACGTCCTCAAGGGACACGGCGTTAAAAAAAAGACAAAAACAACAGCAACAGTGATTATACGTAATTAAAAGAAACACATTGTGAATGTATAAAATAACATTACAGCAATAAAAAAATTCTGATATTCCTCGCCTTGTTTTATTTTGCTAAAAATAAATAAACTATAAATAAAACAGTAAAATTTGGTCACCAGAAATTCAGTGGCTGAAAGGTTAAAAGTCTGTTCATCGAATGAAAGTAAAATAAAAATATTCAACCACTTTTAAGAATATTGCTTAAATAATTTACAAATCACAATATTCTTGTTCCACAAAAATCTCTTAAGAAATATTTTATTCATCAAACTCATCTTTATTTATTCATTTGAATTAATGGAAATCCATTGCGTTTTAGAAAATGTTTTAGCAAAGAAAAAATACAATAAATTAAAAAAAAGTAAAAGAATCTTGAATCATTTTTCCACGCACAAAAATAATGAACAGTAAAAGATACAAATTGGAACAATTGGAATCAAGTGGATTTGATAGTGATAAAATAAAATAAAAATGGGCTTTTTCGATTACTTTTATATTTCTTGTATGTAAAATAACGGAACTGTCACGTATAAAAAATAATCTAAAAAACAAACCGATACATACACGCAGACGACTGTTTTTTGGCTCGTATCGTAATCGACACATACGAAAGAATTTAATAAAAATAAATTCAAAATCATTAATCACATCATTTTAAATTTTCAGTTCTTTTCCGGAGATTTGAGCTCGTAAGCAGATTTGAATTTTTCGTGCGTTTGAAAATTATCGTCCAATGAATTTTATTTTATTTATTTATTTTTTTTTCAAAGATCGAATAGCAACATTTAAGCATGTTCTCTTTCCTCAATCTGAATTAACAAAACCGTACAAAACGGACTGATCATGGCTTTATAATATCAACTGTTTTTTTTTTTTCATCCCAGACTATTCCAGTATAAAAATCCATCGTTATTAGGAAAGAAATGCGTTCGCTTTTGTTTCCCGTTGGTAACAAAATTTCATTAAAAATTTTAAACACCCTAAAAAACGAACATGACTTTTTAGTTTTGCACTTTTAAATTCATTTTCCACATTAAAAAAAAAACAAAAACGTTTCCACAATTTTAAGACCGTTTTCTTCCACTTTTGAGACATAAATTATTTTTTAAAATAAAAAATTCAGACACTTTTCATAAAAATAAAATAAAGGAAAAGAAAGACGAGCATAAATATCCCCAACAGTGTCAATAGAATTCTTTCGTTCTTTACCAAAAAGAATAGCGTCCACATTAGTAATACAAAGTTTAGTTTGGTGAGATAAGAAGAATCTCTTTAAAATGGCTTCCAGTCAATGATAAAGAAAAACGTATACAGAAAATAGACTGATTTAAAAATAAGTTTAATTTGGTTTAGTTATATGAAGTTATTTCTGCGTGTGTCTAAAAACATTTACATATAATAAACTGCTTCCAAAAATAACGTTTGAAATCAGTAAATACGCGCGATGTCTAAATTATTCATGATTAGGAAGCTATGTCGCTAAATAAATGGCGTCTTTTGGGCACATCGACGTGGTGTAATGGTTAGAAAACCTGTCTCCTTAGAATTACAACTGAGTAGGGCGTTCGATCCTCACTGAGAGTTCCATACTTCGGCATTGTGCCACAGCTACGCTTAGTAAATCACTATAAAAGACGTCATTTTTCGGTGAAAACAAAATTTGATAGTTGCTTTCCTGATTGTTCTCATAAAAAGCAAAATTATTTTATCGTAGCTCTTGTTATTTCGTCTCATCCACTCATACACTTTTTTTGCGTCTCGTACATTGCATTTGGAATGGTTTCATTGTTTGTTTTTTTTATATTTTTTTTTTTTAGAATCGAGATTTATTGGGGTATATATTTTCACCGTCGTAAGCAACACAATGAGTGTGTATCTGACTAGTATCATTTTAATGACTAGAGCTTGTCTGGGTCAATGAAGCATTGCTTGCGTTCGTTTGCTTAGAATTTAACATGCTTTCCATTTCAATATTGTTATTATTGGGGTTAGAATTGCCGCGTTCATGAAGCGACAAGTCTGAAGGTATCTCAGTCATACATTGTCTCTCTTCTGGTGTTAATTCCTTTATGCGATCCGTTGTCACAGAACTGTAATAGTTCTCATTTTCAACCAGGTCTGTTTGGTTGAAAGTATCTCTGATTTCCGAATAAATGTTTTCTTCGTCTTCATCAGGAATCTTATCGGCCATATTTAGATGTCCACCATTGATGTAGATGTCCGAAGAGCTTTTGTCATTTTGAGTTTTGTTTAAACATTTCTGGTCTTTACAGCCAACACTGACTTGGACATTCTGATTTGTGTAAGTGACAGGATCTGGGGTCATGTACAGACTGTTAGAATAGTGACGTGATCCCTCTAAACTGTCAAGCCGATATCTGGAAGAAAAAATGATATATCGTTAAGGTCGTCATAATGCAAGTAACCTACATACCGAATTTGAACGAAATAGGAAGAAAAAAGTTGAATTTATTGATTTCTGATCGGCTTTATCGATTATTGATTTTTTTTAATTATCGAATTTTTACGCTAAGAACCTATCTCTTACATTGTACAATGTATGTGTCAAGTTTGGTCAAAATTAGTAGGATGGATCTCGAGTGAAAAGGTATCACACAGACAGACATCCACTGTTTTAGTGGGCATTGAAGTCAACACCCAGCGGCGACAGTCTGTTTCAATCCATGACGCTTACGTTTAAGCATAAAACAGTCTGCCGTCGTTCGGCCTTGACTTCAATGTTCACTTGCATATTTACATACGCTCTATCCCTTATATTGAGTACTTTAACCCATAAATATAGCATATCTTAAAACTATGTCCTATATATATATAATTCACTCTTTCTGTTATGGTTAGTTTCTCGTGTTGAGGAATCGGAGAGCCGAGTTCGAATTCCGGTCGAGTTCATTAGATTCAATCACAGGCTAATACCCTAGCTATGGATAAATACTAGGACAGACTGGGTTCTATAGACTTGGGTGGCAACCGGTCTAGGAGAAGGAAAACTCTGAATTCCAACCAGCCTGGAGAGGGTTGGGTCCCATCAGTCTATTTTGCCCAAGACACACCATTTCTACTTCGGTTGCAGTACATGTGTTACCCCTACGGCCTTAATGGGTTATGGGACTCGTGATCATTATATATATTAGTAATACACGGTTGAAAAAAAAAAGCTCGGATAGCACAACTTGTAGATATGTCAAAACAAATCGTTACCCGAGAAAAAAATTTGGAAAAAAAAAAAAAAAGAAAGAACTAAAAACATTTGAACAGGGCGAAACAAATCGTCCCGTGCCTTAAGTCTTTAGTCCCAAGAAAAAAAAAAAAACCCAAGCGAGTAGTAAAGCTAAAACGTAGAGTGCTCAATACGCTAAGTAGAGCGGGAATAAATAAAATAAATCCTAAAGAGCCAGTAAAACCTAGCTAGGTTTCACCTAAACGGATGTTGAGGGTAAGCTTACCCTGAAGATCTGTTTAGGTGAAACCTAAGTAGGTTTTACTGGCTCTTTAGGATTTATTATATAAGTTATAATAGCCGTCATTGCTGTACTTACCTTGATCCACGAGTCGCTAACATCATTTTCGCAGATGGTACTTGAAGTTTACAACCGTTTTCCATACTAATGTAAGAGTTTTCCTCTTTCGGTGAAAAGTTTTGACAGTTCAGATCTGAAGAATAAATGAAAGTACATTAATTAATCTATTTCCTCTAAAAGAACCGACATCCTTTTAAGAACCGCAGTGAAGTATTATTTCTTTTTTAAGTTTTTGTAACTAGAAAGTCATTACATTTAACAGTGTCAAAAAGTTCATTTCTGTGATAGTCTATAGCAATCGTTGCGTGGGGCACCGGTTGTAAATCAAGTGTTACGTAGTTATTTTCACAGACAACTTACATGAGAAGGGAGTTCGATTTTCATCCAATCTCCAATTATTATGGCTTAGTGTCAGGCTAAGTTAAACTTAGAAAATATCTATTTATCTGTTCAATTGATTTTATTGAAAGTAAATAAAGAGTAAAATAATTGAATAGTGAATGCGGTCAAATAAAAAAAAAAACAAACAAAAACAGGTGTGTATGTAGACTAGTGCCCCATAGTTTTGGCCTTGTGCCACATTTAAGCTGCGCTTAGAAAATCACCATACTCGATCACGGAAAAGACTTCGGGAGTAAACTCTGAGGATAAGATCCAGAGCCGGAAATCCTAAGTTAAGCCGACATTGCATACAAACATATTCTGGTAACTCCTTCGACGACGTTGGTGCCAAGCGGCATCGGATTTTGTCCTGACATTGGACCACATCGATAGTATAGACAGCGAAGATGTACTACATGAATAACTTGCCTAAGCTTTTACTCTAACCGAACATCCATATTTTATATAGATGTGCGGAAAGCAAAATTGCCTTAGCATAAATTCTAGTCTGTTCTGTTTCCATTACTTCGCACTCATGTCCTTGGAAAAGGAATGAACGCATCTTCCTTCAGCTATAGAATAAATAGCAGGGCAAACTGTATTATTTCGCCTTACCTGGCAGCCAGTCCAGAAGAAGAAAAACGCTGAATTCAAATGCGAGTACCGGTGTTTGGAAATTTCGTGGCGCATTGTACACCGTTTCTCTCTTAACAATTCTTCTGAAATGTGTGGCTGGTTCCACTACTATACTCATATTATCAGTGTGGGTAATCTATCGGTTTTAAACTAAACTGTTCGAATTTGACGAGAGACCAGATGCCATCCGTGATAAATATCAGAGTACTTCCAGATGGAACAAATATTACGCAAAGATGTTTTCGCGGATACATTTTGGTCATTACAAAAAATATTTGTTCATCGAGGCATTTGCTTTCTCCAACAAAGACTACCTTCCTGGGTAAGACGATAAACTACGTCCAGCAGCAAGGACTCTGATCAGGAGGTTTTGAGGAGCGTGGAACCACTTCTTAATTGCTGGTGTTCCCAGGTCCACCCTGACCCGGGGTGGTAGCACCTGTTAGGGTCCCAGCTATGGGCAACTAATTAACTATTACCAGCTATACTTTTTTGAAAAAATTATTACCAGCAATACAGTTTTGAAGGAAAAAATATTACGACAAACAGATTTTTGACAAAACAAAATGTTACCAGCAATAAAAAATTTTGTCGGCATTAAATAACCCATTGAGGTTGATGTGCCGTAAAACAAAATAAACCAAACCAACAAAGACTAATTTCTTAAGGCTTTCTCATGTCTATAATTCTTCTGTTGATTGATGTTTTCTAAAAAAGTCAATTCAAATTTAAAGAAACGTGAAGAGAATTTTTTAGATTTATTTTCTGTATTTTGCTGTTAATTTCTTCTTTTGTCTTGTTATTTCCTGTTTTTTATACTTGAAAAGAACAATGGTAAACAAAAACTAATTGATTCACCTTGTTGTGGTACAGAATATTCATTTGTTGATTTTGATGGAGGCAGCATGACATCTGGTGTGTATGGAATCTCACTAGAAAATTAGAGGAAAACATTACAATGCTCGGCAAAATAATTCCTTTGTTAAGTTTACATTTCCTTCTTAAACCTCCGTTAGTATTGTGAGACATTGTCACGGTAGGACATGTCGATTTCAGAATCGTGGTATTGCACTCAGTTTGAAAGTTGGGGTTTCACATGATAAATAATGACACAAAATCTTTTTTCAAAATCCCGACCATTTTTAATGAAAAAAGATTAAATGATTAAGTCTACGTTCAAAATCGTAGCGGTGAAATTTCATTCCGGTGATCAATGAAAGCACGTCCTTACAAAATTTATAATTTACTGAAACTTTACAAATAATGTATAATATGTATAATGGGCAAGATGCATGGTACAACTAATCATTGTGTCATCAAATATGACTTCATTTGCTTCAAAGGGAAGTGATACTGAACAATTTAGCCATGATTATACAGTGCAGTAGTTTTAGTGCGATTTTAAATAAACAATATAAATTTAAAACATTTTATCTTATAATTTGTGCCCATCAGTATTATTTTAATCTATTTTTTGTTTTTATTAATTATGAGCTATCAAATAATCTAACAAATCTTCTACATTGAGTAGTCCGTTTGTAATCTTTTACAATTTTATTTACACAGGTTTTACTTATCAAATACAGTAAAAAAAAATGAATATTTTGTTTGTGGTGATACATAATTAGAATTCTGGTTTGAATATATTTTCCATTCAATGTGTCTAATACAAATCATATCAAATTTATTTGGATTTATTCTTGAAACATTTGAATTTTAAGGTTAATTTGTAAGCAAAAATCTGCGGAAATTAGTTATTACTATGTTTCAGACGATTTTTAAATCTAAATGCTGAAAACTCTTTAAAAGCTATGAATCTATTTTTTGGTGTCAGTACTTATCGCATAAAACTTCAGCTTTCACACTGAGTGCAACATTGATTTTTTAAAAAGTAAAGAATCAACCCGTCCTACTGTCACAGTATTAATACCGTAGGGTTTTCCAATACCCTATTTAAAATATAGATATATCATTTAGTTTTTTAAATTTTATATTGAGGGCTCTTTCTGGTTTTACAGGATAAATAATAAAATAAAATTTTATTTTGAATTAAAAGGCCAATAGTAAAAAATGAATTTGTAAGATTTAAAACTTAAAAATATGCAAAAATAGGCTTTGTTTTATTTTCAGTAAACAAATAAAATTGCTTTTAATTCATACAAATATTATAGCTAAAACCAGAATATCCTTACTTGACAAACATCTCCAGAAATCTATTTAAATTATCCAATGGGATTTGAAGGCTCTACCAGAATTTATTATCGGTAGGCGCGATTTTAACACTATAAGATATGCAGATGTCACTGTGTTGATATTAGGCACAAAAAGAAAACTGCAGTACTGAGACAAAGTAAGAAAGCGAGAAGAAAGGACTAACTATCCGTCTGTAAGAAAACAAAGTATGGATGTCAAAAAAAAAAAGGATCAAGGTGAAAACAATGAATTGAAGGTGTCAACATCAAACAAGTACAGAAATGTAAATATCTGGGAATTTATTTGTAACAGAGGATGGGAAATGCGACAACGAAATCCGAACATGCAATGGAACAGGAAAAGGACATATTCCAAAAGCCAAGCAGAGTATCCAGGAAAATTGCGTTAGAAACAAAGAGTGCTGAACTGTTATGTAATATCAGTTCTCTTATATGGCTGTGAATGTTGGACAATCTCCTCACAGGTGATGAGAAAACTGAAGGCAACAGAAGTGTGGTTCTACAGAAGGATGATGAGTATAACCCGTAAGCAAGAAGAAGTCTTAAGGAAAATGGAAACAAAAAAAGGACACTTATACTTAGAATCAGAAAAAAAAAAAACAACTGGAAATTTTGAACACTTAATAAGGAAGGAGGACTTAGAAAATTTGACACTTACATGACATATCGATAACAAATGGGACAGGGGAAAGCATCGAGCTACTTACCTGATGAACTTGCGTGAATGGATGCCAAAACAGTGAAAATGCTTAGCAATGGATAAATGTTGCTAAAAGCAACGAGAGGAAATTATGGAGAGACATGATCGCCCACATCCTGAAGGTACACAGCACATAGAAGAAGTTGACTAACGAGAAAAATTTGACTTTCCGCTTGTTAAATATCAACGAAAAGCATTTTGCGAGATGTTCAAACACCTCACGGTGCTGAGGGTTAAGAATTATCAAGTTTGCAGTGAAGGAACCGTGAGAAAATCAAACATTCATGTTTATTGTTTTATTCTTTCTTAAAAGCATGAGAAAATAAACGAAACATTAGTTGAATATATTTACCTCGTGCATGCTGTCATTTTCTTCAGTCTTCTGCGAAGCACAATCACGACTAGAGTAATAACAGTGACCACAAACATGAAACAGGCAACAATTGCAATGATGAATGTTGACGGGTTGCTTTTAGTAATACGAAGCTCTTTGTTTTTGCCTGTTAGTATCGATTCGCTTGTGTTCCCTTAAAAAGAACATAGAGAGAATCAGTAAATATAAATTAAATTAATAATGACAATACTAAAAGGGGTGTCGGAGTTAGCTCCTCCTTAATTCCCTAAATGTTCACTAGGGGTCGCTCTTCCTACACTATAATTACTGGGCGACTTCTTGCCTCGTTCTCTTTTTCCTTTCTTCATTTCAGCTAACAGATCTACAATGTAAGCTCTGGCAGAAGATAGCGTCTTCCCATTTGTGGGAGACGCCGTGAACATTACACACACATACACGTATGTACGAACATTCACCAAAATACAAACTCTTTACGTTCACACACAAACGTTGATGTCTTTGTCACTTGAAAAATTGTTGTTTAATATATATATATATATATATATATATATCGGTCTTGTTTGTTTTCTTTATATCTTCGGTTGGACTCAACTTGAGTCCGCCATGTTCTTGTAGTTGGACCTTCTAGCAGGGAATAAACAGCACGTGTTTCTAATGCAACAACTCGCAAACCCACCCAGTCCTCAACAGGGGTTTTATCACGTAGTTAAGAGAAAATTCAATGATTTACTAAATTATAAGTTTGACAAATAAAGTTTCCATACAAGATTACATGCGTACAGCTAGGATCGAACTCACTAATTAGTAGTAAATATCTGCAAGACTAGTTACACCACAACGAGGTGTTCTGCACCTATCGAAATGTTGGTTACTGGTTGGTGTATAGTCGAGAACAATCTGCTTAATTTAGTCTCGATAGCTTTTCACAGAAATTTCTTAATTACATTTGAAGTTATGAAACTGTAGACAAAAAAAGTTATGACCTTTGACATCATTAAAGAAAATACGCAATACAAATGAAAAAAAAACCTTCGTTGAACGGAAAAGGTGTAAATAATCAAATAATACTGATGAGTAAAAGTTGCAAAAACTGAAATGATATAGAACTGAGTTTATGAGTAGAGGAGAAGAAGTGTTAATTATCATCGTAGTTGGAGGGTCAGATGTCCCCAGAGATAACATCCATTCGCATTGCTTCCTATGCGATTCTATTTTTCACTGAGCAAGATCTGAAAGCAAATTTTAAATCGGACTACATTTTAGATCGGAGTAAACAACTCTACAACGTTATCAGGGTAAAGAGGCTAAGTATCCTTTATCGGAAAACCTCCAAAATCTGAAAATTTTTCAGGTGTTGACATGACTTGCCACAAATAGAAAATTTCATAGAGCACTGGGAAGGTGATGTGTGACCTCATCTGCCATGGGTGGGGGTTTCCCTAGCACAGCTACATTGGCGCCAGTTTTTTGTTAGCGATCGTCACAGCAACACCTACGTTAGCTGAATTATTTTCCAGGTATTTTGTGCTGAGTAAACATATTCAAATTATTGAAAAGTCCTGGATTTATATATTTTTTGTAAGTTTTGATCATGTTTTTTTTTTTTACACTTACAGAAAGTACAAAACATTATTTTTAAGTGAAATCTGAATTTCACCACTTAAAAATTCGTGTGAGAATTACATGATTAGCGTAATTACCTCTATGTGTATGTACACAAAATTTATTAAATTTTATATAAAACTATTCTCAGGTTATATTTGTCTATTATTTATATAAATTGTTATAAATCTTCAGAGTATGCAGAATGCGATGGGTAAATTGTTGCCATTTTATATTTTTAATTTCGCACATGTGCGTTGTTCATTTATTTTTTTATATTTTTGTTGACTGCATAGTATAGTAGAGTCGGTTGGGCACAGTTTGTGAGAAAAAGAGAACCATAACGCAGCCAGATATTTGGAAACGGCATACTGTACTGCTTGGCATTCGCAACGGAATTTCCAATACGAACATTTCAGAGTGTTTGGGTATCAATCTGACGACAATGCGGAGGGTTCGGAAAGAGTTGGGTGAGTCTAATGGTGATCACGAAGATGTTTGGAGTGATCACTAGTGATGGCGACGTTATGCCTCCATTCATCTTCCCACAGAGCATCAGATTCAACACGTAGGCCTACATCAAGTGTCTTGAAGAAGTAGTGCTGCACTAGGTCAAGACGGTGGCTGCTGGAAGACCCTATGTCTGGCAAAAGGACTCTGCACCATGCCACACAAGCAGGAGAACCCCGTCATGGCTGTCACAAAATTTCTGCAACCATATCACCCCTTACATCTGGCCACGTAACTCCCCAGACTGAAACCCCTTGATTATTACCTGTGGGGTGCAGTTGAGCGAGAGTCCAACAAAACTCCTTGTAACACCAAAGATGAACTTAAACAAGGAGATCGTCCAGATGTATTGTAAGAAATTCGGAAGTCGTCTGGAGGTCGTGGTTAAAGCCAATGACAATTTTATTGAATAAATTTACTTCTTAGTATTTCAAGATATTTTTTTGTAATTTTGGTAAATATATCTGTTAAAATGAGATACCAATGTCATTTTCATTTTTGCGCTATTTAGACGACAATTTATCCATCGTACAATGTATGTATATGTTGTGTTATGAAATGTAAAGGGATATCGTGTTTATGTTTGGGTTCCATTTCCAAGCTGCCCCATTTTATAAGTGCTATATACAAATTAAATAGCCTGTATTCTAAAATAAAATAAAAATATATCTGGAAACTGAAGTACTTCCGGTTTGAAGAATTTCGGATAAAGAATTCTCAATCTGTATTAATAAACGAAAACAGTGATACTACTACATTACTGATCCAAATTATCGGATCAATGATTCTAGATTCAGGCTGTGTGGAACAAATAAACAATGTATGTATGGAACAAAGTGGTTGGAGGATATTTTTTAAAAATATACTTCTACATGTGACATCCGTACAAAATAAAAGAAGGTGGAATCTGAGCCTGTAAATGAGTTTTCAATGAGCCTCGAGTTGTTTAATTTAATTTTCCATTACATGCGCTAATTGACTGTTACCTTATAAAAAACAGTACGCTTTAGAACCAGTTAATCCCTTCTCTGTCTCCGAGCTTAATCGTTCGTCTATAGTCACTATTTTGTTCTGTAACTCCAAAAGAAGAACTACTACCTCATCGTAAATGGCGGTCATTTTATATCGACCCAATTGCACACGTTTCAAGGACGATCACTCAACAGTTATGTCTATTAAAAATGAGTTAGCAAAAAAAACAAAAAACAAAAAACGAATTGAACTCACTGAAAGTCCAGGCACCGGTCCCCTGATTAGTAACCTCGGATATTGTTTGCTCAGTAGTAGGTACTTCATCTATCAAAGAGAGTAAAGTAGTAGAAGTGGAAGTAATCTCTCTCTCTCTATATATATATATATAAAACAGAGGATGTTTCTGTGTCTGTGCGAGACCTTTTCACTCGAGATCCATCCAACCGATTTTAACCAAACTTGGCAATAGATTGTACAATGTAAGAGATAGATCCTTAGCGTAAAAAAATCGATAATTTTTAAAAAAATTAATAATCGATAAAGCCGATTAGAAATCGATAAATTTGACTTTTTCCCTCCGATTTCGTTCAAATTCGATTTGTAGGTTACTTACATCATGACGAGCTTAATGATACCTCATTTTATTTCTACGCCACTGCGTTTAGCGAAAAACAGCAAAAAATTGAAAAATCGATTTCAACACAAATTTTAAACTAAAAAGTTCAATTTTTAAGCAATCTAGTACAAACTTCACTCAATTGTAGCCAACAATAAGTTGATTGTTTACCATTCATTTAACTTGATAATTGAGTCCACCCATATAGTGAAAACACGCATAAATAGCGAAAAATAGCGATTTTTACTGGTTTGTTTCTTATTTTTCGTTAATCTTTCAACCAATTTTCATCAAACTTAACAATTGCTTTATAAATGTATTTTCTTTTACATCCCTGGTAGCAGACTGACAAATTGAATTTCAAAAACTCCAAAATACTTGTGGTCTGAAGTGAGTCTTCATGTTGCCTGTTTTACCCCTTCATGTCCTCGGCTAAAAATGTTTTTTTTTCAATGAAAGTGCTTTAAAGTAAATGAAGAAGATAGAATCTGTTACATGTAAACATGATGCTGTTTTTGCCTCATTCTAATTGAACGCTTTTTCTGATCGACCAGCTGCTAGTTCACTATAATAAGCAAATGGTGCAAATTAACTCATAAGAGTACAAATCAGAAATGACTCAGTAGGAATGTTAACTTACTGATAATTGTGTAAGAATTTGAGATTTGATAATATAAAGATCTAAATGCACAAACCAGTAACTTTCCTACAGAATTAACAAATTATTCTATGGGATTTTGAAATACAAACAGTTCGGCCAATCCAGACAAAAGAAAGTGGATTTATTTTGTGGATGTTGCTGTCCCAGCAGATAACAGAAATATTGGAAGAGGGCGAAAAGATGGAGTAATATCAGTGAATACATTGTAGTACATGCAGTTGACAGTATGCCATTAAAAGAACGCTTGAAACGGCCCGGGAGAGCTTTGTAAAAAAAAAAAAAAAAAAGCTGGAATCGATAACATCCAGACGTCAGCATTATTAAAATTAGCAAGGATACTGAGGAAAGTGCTTGGAAACTCAATGAAATAACTATAACAACACATTTGTAAAAATATTTCTCTTAGAAGACTATTATGTCTTATTTCAAGCAACAGAAATCATAAAAAAAAGACGAGCTAAAATGTCATAATTGATAAAAATAATTCATCAAAGTAATTCGAATATGATTGCATCTAAACAACATTTTTTTGCATTTCTTATCTGACGTCACTACAGATATTTAATTTATTCAGATCAAAAGCAATCGAGTCAACAGATGTAGATGGGGTGCCAGGAAAATTAGTAAATTGAAATGCGAGTACCAATACGTCAAGCCTATGGGGGTAAATGGTGTGAGTGAACGCATCGCCAGGCATTAGTTCCAGAAGTTCAGGTCAAGAGATCTGGCTCTTTGTAATGAAACACGCAGTGGCCGGTCACAGGTCCTGGATGATGAGGCCCTGAAGGCGGCCGTACAGGAGGACAATAGCCAAACATATAGTGAGCTTACCGAACGCTTTCAGATTTCTGATGAAAGACTCAGACTTCACTTGCACTGCATAGAGAAGGCGTACAAGTTTAGTAAATGATTACCTTACACACTGTCGGAAGCCAATAAGCAACAACGATTGGCAGCCTGTTTCTCGCTGCTTTTTCGGTACCACTGTACGATTGAGTTTGAACATGTGCAACAGACACTGAATAAGAGCTAGCACTGGTTAATCGCAAAGGTGTACTGTTCCTTCATGACAATGTCGGGCCTTATATGGCGCTGGTGGCCAGACCCCGTAAAAATGGGGCCGGGTAACTGACTATCACCCCAGACGAGACTCTGCCCTTCGACATAGCCTCGTCTGGGTTCCTGACTGCTGAGAGTTTGACAAACATACTGTGGAAGACCACAATAAATCTAGGATGTAGGGAGAATAAATTGAAACAGAATATCTGACTTTGAGCACATCATAGATTCATTTTTACTATTGAAATGAAGAAAGGTGCAATTGTAATTGTCAAGTAGTGCTGTATTTTGTTAATTACAAGATTAACAAAGTTGACTTGTATTTTCACCTGAGATTATATATATAATTATCGAAAAGATGGGTGCTATTGTGCGATATTTTGGGCATAATTTAAATGATTTTAAGACGGTTTTTTCGTACATGCGTCACTGGGAATATGGCACAGTTAATTCCAAAATTTATAGCTTGTTTTTAAATCACACCACCCCAAGCTAGACGATAATGCCACTAAGACGTAAGATGCTACTGGGAGTGTAAGAGACTGAGAAAGCTTTAGAAGGAACCTTAAACCCAATCCTAAACAGAAAACAAGGGATAAACCTCTACTCCTGTTCAAAAGACCGAGGACAAGGTGACAATTTGACAAGGTGAGTTCTTCAGGACATTAGTGATCATTGTTTGAATGCAAATCCAGAAACGTTGTTGCAATTTTAGTTATAATTTTTTCATGTGGATAAAAATAAATTGGTGTATTGTAAACGAAACGAGTTTTCGGTTTTTGTTTAAAGTATTGACAACATGGTATTCATCCACTTGCTCACGGGGGTATTATGTAACATAAGATCAAGTTTACTGTGCAGATATCATGTGTACGCTCTGCTAGTTCCAGAAATTGTCCAAATTCTCCTGGAGCTTCCTTTTTAGGATGCTTCAGGCAACAGAGATTGACCATAGCTCTACCCTTTTAGGTACAATGGGAAGTTGTTTGGTCGTTGTAACAGTGTTCTAGAACTCGACATTTTTCTTATGTTTCGAGACCAACGGACCAGAAACCAAATTATATATATATATATATATTTAGTTTTAATGTATGCTATATTTATGGGTAAAATTGTTCAATATCAAAGATAGAGCGTTTGTAAATATAAAATAAACGGGGTTTCATGCCTGAGGAATGCGTACATACAAGCGGTGACAGTCTGTACATACGCATATATATATATATATATATATATATATATACACACACACATATATATATATATGTACCGCGCATATATAATATATAAATACTATATATAAAAAGCGCGCGCGCCCGTGTGTGTGAAATCTTAATGATCAAAGAGATTATAAGATAAAAATTTAAAATAATGAAAGTACTGAATATGTAACAGAGCAATCTAATCTCGTATTAAAAAAAAGAGTTTGGCGACTTGCCCGCTAGCGCGCTTTCACCTGTGGCTCCTTAGGCTTATCAGTACCAGGATTTTGGCCCATACAAACTATAGGCGAAAACTTAGCATATATTTCTTTTCACACATTTTCCTACCTCTGTTATAGTGTACCAGAGGCAGATGATGACCCAACTGACTAACGGTCATGAAGGATGAAGGCAGATAGGCACTTCTCAGTTTTTAACTGAGGAAGTAATGTCAGCATTTGAATTTCAATTGCTAATTTAAAATTCAAACTCGTTCCCGACTACTACAATCTGCATCTCCAAAATATGTATGCAAGCGAAATTTCCTTGACAGCATCTTCGATTATTGTTAATGTTCCGGAATTAAGGCTTTATATTAAAGTTAATTTGTCTCAAATGTACTTATGAAAGATCCATACGTAAATAATTTTCAGGTAGAAAATCGTGGCATGAGAAGAAGAAATACTCACATAATGAAGGCAGAATGCCAGAAGTAGTAAGGAAGGAATAATCGTTAGGGCTTGTTACAGAACGAGGATTGTCAGTTGAATCTAAAGAAAGAGGATTCAAATTAAAACTTAAAGGTTGTTTTCGGGCAACAAGCAAGGCTTTTGAAGATGTAACACGACAAGAGAGAAAGGAAAAGCAACTTTACAGTTACAATTAACAAGTCTGGAATTACCAATAAAAGACTGGAAGTTTTATGAGTGAAGGAATTTGGGGTTCATTTCTATTTTGGAATGATCAAGAAGTGGGAAAAGCAAGACAAAAAGCACTTTGGTGAATAAAACAGAAGTTGGCATTCAATAGCAAAATTCATAAATTCTCTTAAATCTGCAATATTAAAGATTTAATATTTGTGGGAATAAAAGAGGAAACAAAACGCTTTACCTGCAACACAAATTTGGTTCACTTCGTGATAACCTTTGCAACATTCGAGCTGCATTTTTTGTATCGTCTTTGTCCTTCGTTCCAGTCGGTATCTTTCGCGAGTTCTAAAAATCAAGAGACACGTAATGAGAAAATTATATTTAATGAGAGAAATAAATAAAGGAGTAAAAACGAAGTGGGGAGATTCTGAGAGAAAAAGAGAGATATTCAGCGAGAGAGAGAGAGAGAGAGAGACAAGGAGAGAGAGAGAGATTCGGCGAAAAAGAAATTCAGCAAAACAGCTTGATGGAGAGAACCAGAGAGAAAAACGAAGAGAGATTCGTCGAAAGTGATAGCTTGCTGGATATGTATGGTGAACTTTCACTTCGTGAACAATAACTGCGGGTTCTGCAAATTGACAACACTGTTCCCCACCCTATCAAACCGCATGTGTAACTTTAAACCCTTTGGTGTCCTACATATTTTCCCACATTAAAGACAAGTGCATTCCTCATTATTCCTGAACTTTGTAATGCTGTACAAGTCAGACTTTAATTCTGGCTTCGAAGCTACCAAAACAAAGTCACAGCTGACCGTATTTTTTGTCTTAAGCTTTTCATTTCATTTTTGCCTTCAAATATTATGATACTCCAGATTTGCATTCTAAAGAGGTTTTAGTTGTGTGAAAACCTTAATTTCTATTGACGTCTGGATTTTACCAACTCTTCCCCAGATTTTGTATCGATTTGAAGCTATCCTTTAATACATGCACAACATATATATATATATATATATATATATATTAGTTAAATTCCCAGATCAATTCTGTGGATAAGACAAATTTATATAAAATGACAATTGGAAAAAAAAAAATCTTAAAACGCGTTGGCAAAATCTTTTTTCTAATTGTCATTTTATATCATATATATATATATATATATATATATATATATATATATATATATATATATATATATATCCACTGGAACACAAGGGGTTACTGAGTGTAAGAGAGTATGAGAAAAAAAAGAAGTGAGAAGTGCGATAGACGAAATTGTTAGCATAGAACTTACGGTTACATCGAGTCATTTCAAATGTAAGTAAAATGATGAGACCTTGCCGCAAATCTACTACTGCGCTCCGAAATTTTGGTTGAAAATGTTTTTCTTGCGTCAGCAAGTAACCATAAATTAGCATGGTAAATTTTAGCGTCTTTTTGCGATGCAAAACAGACTGATTTAGAAATTCAATATGAACGATTTAAGCGATTTTATAAATAAAAAACTCATTCAAATCAATTTAAATTCAGTTTGAAATGCAATGTATTTTGCTTGCTGGAAATAATAAATTTAATCTATTACTTTGAAATTAAATGTACAATAAAAGCTTCAAAAAATATTTTTTATTTTTAAAAATGCATTTTAAACCTTAGGTATCGCTTTTCTTTGGAGGTACCGAAATTGGGGAGATATATTTTACCGTTATATAAATTATTCATTTAGTTATTAGTTTATATTTGTTATGTTCCTTCTTAGTTATATCAGAAATACGACAGTAATATCTCGTAGCTTTTAGTAGTAGTAGATTTCATTTTGTCGTCACTTGTATTTCTTTCCATTTGTAGATATTTGATCTGATACTTCGATGTTTTGATTTCCCTTTCTGTGAGAACACGCCGACATTTTGTTGTGTTAGTTAGCGTCTTTGTTTCTGCAGGGTCGTACAATTTAAATAAGGTGTATTTAGGCAACAACAATTCTTTCAAACAAATTTTGTTGAATATTATCGACAAGTACTGTCTGCTTAATTTTTTATTGAGTTTTTTTTTAAAATTTCCTAAGTTTTTTTGGGTAATTTGCAGTTTAAGCCCCGAGCTCATTCTGAATAGTTACATTTAAGTGTAAATTTACACGCTTAATTCGAAAATAACAAAGAAATTTTGCTAAAATCTACCGTTTTGGAGTTATCGACAATAAAAGTTCGGACTCATTCGTGTCGGGTCCGTCCGCCATTACTGTCGTTGTTTACATACATTTGCCTCGGATAAATCATGCGCGGAAGCTTACTAAGTTAACGGCCTTTTTACTTTTTTTTTTCTTTTTTTTTTTTACTGATTTTACTCGTCTCAATTACTGCGCAAGGGTTAGTGTTTTTGTTAAATTTATTTAGAAAAGCAATGACAAGTATTGCTTTTACATCATAAAAAAGATAAATAATAAAACATAATTAAATAAATAATAAAACAAATTGTAATACTAATAAAATCTTATTTTAAAGGTAATTAATATTCATGCTCTGTAAAACTCTGAAATTTAAAAAAAAATTGAACCTTAAATTTGTTCTTGTTATTTCCTTTTTAGCATCTTTTTTATTGTAAATAATCATGCTCTTTTTATTGTAAATAATCATGCTCTTTTTAAATTTCGCGCAAAGTTTGCGCTTTGCGTGCGCATTAATCAAGACAAGTGAAGCTTCCGTGCATGACTATTCCGAGGCAAACGTATGTAAACAATGCCAGTAATAGCTGCTGTACTGTAGCCGCGACGTGAATGAGTCTGAAATTTTATTGTCGATGACTCCAAAACAGTAGATTTTAGCAAAATTTCTTTGTTATTTTCGAATTAAGCATGTGAATTTACACCTAAATGTAACTATTCGGGATATTTTTATTAGAAACTATGCGTGGGACTTAAACTGCAAATTACCCTTTTTTTTTCTTCTTTTTTTTTAATATATATATAAATAATCAGTAAACTCACCAAAGTTCGTTCATTTCACCCCACCGAGTACTTTCGAATATTACTATATTCGTTTTCAAGGAGACGTGTGTGTGTGTGTGTGTGTGTGTGTGTGTGTGTGTGTGTGTCTGTGTGTGTGTGTATAAAAACGTAGTAGATCTATGAAGGCTGTGTGAATATTTAAAATTGTACTGCAAATAAAATATATAATATCCACAAACATGAATTATAAGAAATGGCCAAATGGTAACGATATTCAATCATGACAAAAAATACATGTTTGAAACAACAGATTAAATTTTATATACACAATTTACAATTTCTTTGTTTGTTATGATGTGTGCAAAGGTATATTTTAGAGAAAAAGTTCTTTGCTGTTTCGGAAATGTTCAATGTCTAAAAGTTGTCTGTCTTTGATTAAAAAGGTTGAATTTAACTTAGACAAAAGATTTTTCTATGAAAGATATTGAGTGAAAAAGTTTGTTGTGTAAATTTTTCTAATCTCTTATAAAAGAAGTTTGTTTCTTTGGCGGCACATAATTCCCGTGTGTAATCTTTTGCGTGTGTAAGTCTCAAAATATACCTGTAAAAGATAGTATGAATAAAGACAAAAGGAAAACTTTTCGCTACCTATGGATTTTTTTGTCCATTGAAGGATTTTATCAAGGTTAATGTAAGGATCTTATTTTGCAATATGTATTTATAAACAGAAATAAAAATATCAGTAAGTATTCAAAATTTTTAAATTTAAGAACGCTCTAAAACATTTTTTATTCAGGATTTGCCTTTCCTTACACTTTTAGCTTTAATAATATTTTAGAGAGTTTTTAAATTTAAAAATTCTGGAAACAATTATATTTTTACTTTTGTTTATATATACAAAATTAATAAATAAAATACGTACAGAAGGCGCACAGCGTTATTTTCTCCGCTTCGCAGTAAAGTATATTGCATAAAGCCATATCTATAGGACACCCAGTGAGGATCGCAATCACTTCATCCGTAACGGTTTAGAAAATGAGCTTATTGTTCCGGGACGAGGTGCAACAATATCATTTTGTTTTCAAACGTTAAAAAAAGTCATTTTATTGATAGACAAATGATTTCTAATGAAAACGGAGTGAAAAAATGTGACAGGGTTTAGAAAACTTGATTTTTAGCAGCAAATAACTAACAACAACGTTTCACTAAAAAGCGAAACGAATTCGAGAAATAATTCGATGTTATTCGCGTGACTCACTGTGAAGGCATGTACCTGAATAGTTTCGTCATGAGACCACATACGTTCAAGTTGAGAAAGAAAAATCACTTTCAATCCGAGAACAAACGGGTGCTAAAAATAAAGGCCAAGAGCTGTTTGGTAGGATAATAACCGGTTCCCTTTCAAGTGTTTCTTGTGCATATTTAGAAAAAGCCAAAGTCAAGACCTTTACACTACAGGTATTAGGTTGGTGCAAAAATAATGACGTAATAATGTCGTTTTTTGACGTATTTTTTAACGTCAAAAAACGACATTATTACGTCATTATTTTTGCACCAACCTAATATATTTTAACGTTCATTGTTCAACACTAACAATGAGTATAGCAGTTTTTGTCAGTGTGGTGTGTTTGGAAAATACACTGACTTTTGTTTCGTTTTCACTTAAGATTAGAGAAGACAAGGTCCTATTAGAAAAGAAAAAAAAGAGATGAGCGTAAAATCAACGAAAAATGGAACAGAAAAAACAAATAAACGGAAAACAAGAAAAAGAGGAACGGAATAGAAGTAAAAGCGGAACGAAAAGAAAAAAAGGGAATGGAAAAAAGAAAAGAAAAAGTGGAACGAAAAAAAAAATAAGAATAGTAAACTTGGAACAGAAAACAGAAAAGGGGAACAGAAAACAGAAAAGTAAAAGTAGAAACGGAAAATTTATTTATCATTTTTTAAATAAAAATGAATTGTTATTTTTTTTTCACATGAAATTTTATAGGAAGAATAAATTTAAAATATAACAAAAATATTGAATAAACATCTTACCGATATGCAGTCTTACAGAAAAGTAAAAAGCGGCATTTTTTGGTTCGTACCAACTCTGTGTATAGGACCCGTTGCTGGTAAGTAACGACTTGGCTGAAATCATAAATTATTTCACTTTGGTAAATATGAGCAAGAGGATAAAATCTGCTACATTTTTACTAGAGAAAGTTTTGTCATTTTTAAAATAATATCTAAGTGCATTTTTATCATTGTCTCCTAACAGGGCCGATGCGTATCCCCGAATCACCCGACCGAGAGGCCCAAGCCTGATTGGGGGCCCGGGGCAGTGGCTTTTGTTATCTTATCAACATTTGCTTTCTTTTTTTTTCAACGCACATTATTTATATACCTTAGAAATTAAACTAAGCACAACTGACAAAGGATGAAAAAATTTCGGATCTTGACGTAATTTTGAGCCTTTTTTTTTCTCTATCCATGAATATGTATTGCTAATGCCAAGTATCGAAAAAAGACGATATAAAATTCACATTTTTTATCCATAATGTTGAATCTGTTAAAATTATTCAACTTTTTAAGAAAAATCTCAAGTTGATGTTAAAAATTGCACTGACCCTGTCTGCCACTATCGATCATAAGACATGCCACTCTTTATATTAAAATACATGAACTTTCTACATTTTACAGCACAGTGGTTACGTTTTTTTTGTTTTTTGCTACAAGATGTTGCATATCGCTCAACTATGAATAAGTTTAGAAGATGACTTCTAAGAAAGTTTGATAAATAAATGAATTACTCACGGAATGTACTTATAACAGACGCTGCGGCGCACTTGCGAAGAACCAAAGGTTGCTGCCGTAAGGGATAGAAAACCCAAGAGAATAAACAGCAATAACATGGCAGCTCGGGTCAACATTGTCGATTTTTCAACGCCCGCCTACTGCTGCTTTCAAAGTGCTGCGAAAAAAAAAACAACAAAAAAAAAAACATGAAAAATCTTTTCATTCGAGCGCCACAAAACAAAGAACAGGTTAAAATGACTGTCTATATTTCTGAGATGAGGTATTATGTACACTATTTACATTATTCGGACTATTGTCCTCATCTTTGTCGCCATATTCATTACAACGTGGAACTAGAACAGTCTACCCCAGTCAGCGAAATAAAGGGGTTTAGTTCAACATTCCAACCACCTGAAGAAGGCCGGAGCGTACAACGGCCGAAACGTTGTAATAAATATGACGGAAAAGATGAGGACAATAGTCCGAATAATGTAAATAGTGTAGGTTAAAATGATATCTTAATCTAAATATTTCCCTCATAATTTGATTCCTAAATAGAAATGCTTCCTTGAAGGCGACAATCGTAACCTTTTCAAGTAAAGAATCAATCGTTATTTACCCTTGTTGTCCTCATAATCTTCTGTTCCTACCAGCTCCTGATTTTCTCATATCACAACTCATTCATTCATAATCATTTTAACAATTACTCTCTACTTTCAGTAATTTTAGAGCCTTGTATTCGGACAGCTCGTATAATAACACTGGTCAGTAAAAAAAAAAAAAAGAAAAGAAAAGAATTTGTGTCGAGACACCAAACATCTTTTTTAGCTAATTTGAAGGCGCTGAATCTGAAAATGACCTTACTTTTTCTTGGTTAGCTACCGTTTTTGCTGTACAGAAATACCTCATTTTTGGGGAAAAAAAAAAAGCATTTTTTTTATTCGTTTTCTGTATATATGATATTGACCGATGGCAATATTTCTCAAAATAAAATCGTAGAAACCTCTCAATTCGCATTTAAACCAACAAATATTGGTTTGCTTATTGAGAAATACTATTTTTGCAATAACAACCAAACCCTAAGTCTTTAAAAATAACAATAATACCAAACCAACAAGTATTTTCATCAAATCATTTAATAAACTAACAGCAGAAATAAAACCTTTGTGAGCATAAGAACTATGATAAAAATTATCTCTTTCTTGATTGTCATGTTCAATGTTATTTAAGTTCCTTTTGATACTCTAACAGTATCATGTACAATGGAATAGGTATATTCAGTTGGGATGTCTTTAGTTGGAGTTTCTTACCAACAGTGAAAAGAAAATGCTCTCAATGTGCTTGGTTTCCTTCTGTAATGATGGGATAAATTTATGAATATCAAACAGAAGATTCTAGGGTTACATGTTTTTGATTTCACTTTAATTATCAGGTTTACTAAAGTGTATTGCTGATAAATTTAATCAGTTAATTTGAATTTTGGCGATAAATTGGAAAAATTCGGCATTTCTATTTTAAAATTTTTGACTCAAAAGCACGTTTTTCTTATAAAAATAGTTTATTGCAGGTGTCTGACAAATTGCTCAGTTACCTGAAAATTGATGGGTTTCTTCGACCTTTATTAACTAAATTTTGCGATCAGCCAAGATCGTAAATTGATCTTTTTTTTTTCCAAAAATGAGCAATTTCAGTACAGCAAAAACAGTAGCTAACCATGAAAAACTAGGGTCATTTATGGAATCAGCACCATCAAGTTAGCTAAAAAATGGGTTTTGTTTCTTGGCACCAAAAATCGTGTTGTCCAGTGTAATAATTAAAAAAACAAACAAAAAATGTTAGAAAGAAATGATAAGCCTTGACATCTATCAAATTAAACTTATTCCTCATAAATAATTTCAAAGCGTCCCAAGTAAGACTTTTGAAGGCTTAAATATAAGCAATATCAAATATCATCCGTTAATCAATATATAAAATTCTGTGATTTCCGTTAGTCCGTCTGTCACACCTTCTAAAATAGCCATACATTGACCGATCGAAACCAAATTTGACAATTACTACAATGTACCGTGTTTGGAACAGGGCGGGTGGTATTAATCCCAAGAATAAAGTTTATTCTTAAACCACCCGAACATCCTTTCGAATGGATAGGAATCCAATTTACAGTTCGTCCTGCGTTCGTGAGAACTATAAACAAATCACAAGGCCAACCGCTTCCAAAAAAATTGGAATTTGTCTCTAGAAAGAAATATTTACGCATGACCAGGTGTATGTTGCATGCTCAACAGTAAGGAATCCTAAGAATTAATTCTTCGCTGTTAAAAAGGAAAAAAGAAATGTTCTTAAAAGAAGTCCATTAAAATTAGTAAACCGCAAAGTAAGGGTTTTGTCAAAGTATTTTCCAAACAAATCAGTTTATTCAAATTTCATCGATTGGTTTGTGAAATTGAAAGAAAGAGTTTGTAAATTTCGACAAAAATGTTAGCGATAATTTCAACAAAACAAAATATTGTGAGGATTTCAAAACGCGCTGACCGCGTTGCAAAAAAAAAAAAAATCTAGTATTTAAAAAAGCCGGATTTGCTTATCAGCTGGAATAAATGCGTAGTTTTCCCTGTCCGGGCTCTGGTTAAAAAAAAAAAAAAAAAAAAAAAAAGAAAAAAAGATTTCGGATACAGATTTTTAAGGCAGGCAAGCTATTTCTAAAAGATTAGCAGAACCTGATAAGGACAGGCTATGTCCCTAACGCCCTGATTTCCGGTTTAAGTTGAGTTTCCCAATGTCGCAATTTTGTTATGTCGGCATTATAACATCTGTGTCTTGTGATGACGTAACACATGTGGTGGCGTAAAAAGCAAAATTCTTCTCCGAGCTGAATGCATCTGTTGTTAAATACATACAAAATTGCTGACCCAAAATAAATATATTATTTAGCTTGGAATGTTTGATTTTATAGAAAGGTCTTCAAGAATCTGAAGTCTTCTTTTCACTGCTGTTGGTGTAGTACATGCGTATTAACTTAAACGCATAGAACCCCAGTGCCTAGCACCGTAGGGCTTACAATAATGTTAAAACACTGGTTCTTGTACGATCACTGAAGTTAAGCACATCAAGCCTGGTCAGTAACTAGATGAATGACCACTTGGGAATACCAGGTGCTGTAAGGTTGGATGTGTGGATGGTGTAATGTATAACGGCTCGGAGTTGGAAATCGGAGAGCGGAGTTCCAATTCCAGTCAGGTTCGTTATATTCACTTAAGCGCAAATGCTATTGGGAAAGGCATGACTCTACTCTTCCGCCCCCAACTATGGGTTAATTAGTAATGCTACTTCGCGGTTTAATCATTATCTCTAAAAATTCGTACAATCTAAAAATATTTTCTGCCTTTAAATAACCTGAAAAGGGTTGATAAGTCGTAGAAAACGAAACAATCAATTAAATCTCAAGTACTAACATCAAATCTTTCCCCAATTATTTTCTGTTATTGCTTTTAAGATTATGGCCCTTATCAAGTTTCCCAAATCTCCCTAGTTTTTATCCTCGTTTTACATAGTGTTTGGACCAGCCTTATATATTTTACCTCCCCCCTCCGACACTAGTGTGCTTCTTGATTTTGCTTCTCGGCAAAATACACCGGCCGCTCTTCTTTTTGTGGGTTGGACGAGCCATACTAACATTTTTTTTTTTTATTTCTGCTTGAGTGTTTTATTTCTTTTATTTTAATTACTGAGTTCACCATCTCCACCTTAATTTCACGTGTAAATTTTAATATATTTTTTAAATAAAATTAAAAAAATATTTGTACATATGGAGGAATTTTTAAAATCATGGGTGTTTTTAGTAGGATCGCTGCGTGGATGTCGTATTGCGGTTTATGCTGGATTGGATGGAAAAGGAAGGCTTCTTGTGGTGATTGAGGAAATAGAGTGAATGTGTCGTGATTCGGATTAGCTAGGTGTAGGATAGACAGTGTTGACCAAGCTTTTCCCCACTTCCCCTTCGGCCTTGTGCCACAAATTAATGTATTAATTAAATAAATCCGTTGGTTTAAAAATATCAGTAAGCGCGAGTTAATAATAATAATAATAAAAATAATAATAATAATAAAACGCTGGGGAGTTATCTAGATTTTATAGCAACCTATTTCATTCAGCTTTGTACCGCTTTTGTTTTTTTTTTATTCTATTTTCATCACTTTTATTTTTAAATATTATAACTGTTATTAATTTCATACCAAACACAAAATTAAATCAATGTTTTATTATTTGTACAAAACACCATTCGACCGGAAAAGACATGGAACAAAACTGACGGATTGAATAGAAATACAGTGTGACCCGGATATAAGAGAAACCCGGATATAAGAGAAACCCGGATATAAGAGAGATTTTCTCTGGTCCCAAATTAGAGCCTGTGTTAATGTATATAAATTAGACCAAACCCGGATATAAGAGAAACCCGGATATAAGAGAGATTTTCTCTGGTCCCAAATTAGAGCCTGTGTTAATGTATATAAAATAGACCAAACCCGGATATAAGAGAAACCAGGATATAAGAGAGATGTTCTCTGGTCCCAAAGTGTTCCCATACTTACCTAAACAAAATAGACCAAACCTGGATATAAGAGAAACCCGGATATAAGAGACTTTTTCTCCGGTCCCGACAACTCTCTTATATCCGGGTTACATTGTATACTTTTGTGGGAGAGATCTTTGTGTTATGAAACATGAAAACCTTGATGTGTTTGTGACACCCTAGAGAAAATAAACTTATGTAACGAGAGAAAAATACCCTCGTTTCCCCCCTCCCACCCACTTTTCACTCTTATTTCTCTGCAGATTTTTGTTTATGTTAATGTGCTATTAAGAATTTTCTTTTCTTTTGTCGTTTCAAGCAAATCTGTTTTCTTCTACTTCTTTGGAGGAGGAGGAGGAGGATGATATTATTATTATTATTATTATTATTTTATATACAGTAAAATTGCAGAAAGTCGAGCAAATAATAAATGAAGTTGACAAATGACAATGAACGCCGAAATGCGAAATACGACTGACGACGAGGATTAGATTCAAAGTCACATCCGGTTTTGAAAGTCATGAGATCGTGTGTCATGTAATTTTTTTTTTTTTTTATATATATATATATAACTACGTCGCATAATATTTAGAAGACAATAA